GGAGATGAGGGAGACGAATTTGAGATCCCTGTTGCTGTGTACACTGAAGCATAATGCCGAGCGAGTACGCCAGCCTTGTCCACATCTTCAAGCACGATCATCAATCATTTAGTCAGTCTTACTTTCAGGAAGCGCTAGAATCGATTTCTACTCTCATCGGAGTTCATTCGTGCATATCTAACACCCCTTCGGGGACTTTGAACTTTATACCATCGCATGGGAGATAATGTATGATGTTTCCATTCGTAGCTATCGGATAAAATAGAAGTAACTAGTTATCTTTGAAGAAAGTATCTGAACAAACATGAATTTGCCATTCTGGTCTGCTTCAGTGTGAGCTGGTTGACAAGATGGCAACATGGACATCTAGCTTTTCTTTTTCTTTTACCCTCTTTCATTGAATAGATAATAATACAGGAATGGGGAAGCGGTTAATCACAGGGCTGTCATACAACACAATGAGTAAACTCAGGCGATGGTGGTGGGATTGGAAAACTCGTCCTCCGGAGCGAGTGACCATAACCACTGGGCCATCACCGCCCATGCGATAGATCGGGAGTTCAAAGCCCAGACGGGCCGGCGGATATGCACCACTGATGAACTGGAATACAGGGTTGTGCGTGAGAGTAGAGTCTGAGCGATGTTCAGGTCGAACCAATTATCTGTTGCTGTTGGCCTTTCATAAATAGTTCTGTTTCAAGAAATTTGGGTTGTGCAAATCAAGAACTTCACTCACCAGCGTGATAGGATCACTTGCATTATCTAATCAAAGACTTCAGCTATGTCTTCTAAATGTGATACAAGTTTAAGTATCCACAGATGAATCCTAACAGAAGACTAAGGCTGTAAACAGTGATCAGCATTTATGTAGACCTCAAATAGATGAAATATCTCTGAATTTTGATCCAACCAACCACCATCAAAGGAGCACGTTAATTTTGAGGTCAAAATAAGTTTGGATATTTCCATGAAATAAACTCACCGATTAGTTGTTGGGGTACCCGTTCCAGTCAAGTCAAAATTCAACAAAACTTCCTGATGTTCGTTTCCTTATTGGCATATCCCCTTCGGATAAGAAGTCGAACCGTAAAGTCTATCTTACACAGTTGCATCGTTGCTTTCTGTCGCAGTATATAAGGTTGTATTGTATTGTATCGTATTGTATTCAAGCACACAGTTCTGACTGTAGACGTCGGAAGACTGTTGGTAAATCGCAATCAATAGCAGGTTTATCACCATTTATCATGTACTGGGTTAAGGACTTAAAAATATGTAAAAGGTGTGATAAGATGATAAGAATATCTTAACCATCACAAAAGATCTGATTTAGTGCCAGGCTTTTGACTGAGTTAAGCTGGTGGCATGCTGTGTCTCCCCTCAAAGATGTCAAACGAACAACTGAATGAGTGTCTCCGGAGACAATGTCTGAATAAACTTGATTTGGTAACTCTGGTCAGCTACGATGTTACCAGATTAGTTCTGTGGTAATAGACAGACACAAAACTTCCTTGTGAGGGTTATTGAACCCCAATTTCCAGATAAACAGGTGGATATACACTATTGATGACAGCCAAAACGGGAAAAAGTTCAATTTAACGCTTTTCGAGTTCATAACTGACTACATAATACGCGAAGATAAAGCATGAACGGAAATCAATTACAATCGAAAGCAGAAAGTGACGAACTGTTCTTTGATTTTTTTGTTATTGTACCATCTTGGTCATAGTCCACCACGACTGTGAGGCAAAGCAAATATACAATATATAGTTTGTCTGCAAAATACTCACTAACATCCCAATCGATCGACTAATGACCTTGCTAATTCACAATAGTTGATTAATTTTCTCATTCGTTTCCTTGATCAAATCACAGTATATGGTATATTTATTGATTTCATCATCATTTGATCCTCATACCATTTCGTTCTCCTTTANCGAGAACTGGCCGCTCAGGCAATCATTTACAATCTGGAATCTTTGTGTTACACCCTGGTGAGATCGAATAGATTGTCTGTCATAATTTTGGTGGGTAAAATCCTCTTCTACAAATAAATTAATTGAATAGACGTAATGCAACGTCCGATTGTGAAGCAAAACATGAATTTTAATCAATGTATTCTTTTGATTACTGTCGTCAAATTATTAGACTTCTCAAGTTAGGTCCGACCCCGCAAATAAATCAGGTAACACATGACAGAATGGCACGGGATATAGCGTCAACCTACTCGCAA